TGCTTCAAGCAGCAGAAATCATTAGAGGTGTGAAAAGAGCAGCTATGCACAGGCACAGCAACATGGCCAGCTCTGGTAAGATGCCTGCTTCTTCTGATGACTTTTCAGTCACTTCAAGTGGTTCATGGGAAATGAGAGATGGGAGAGGGGATACAATAGCCTTTCAGGTTTTTTAATCACAGATATGCTACTCCTGTCCAAAATCATTCCTTTTCATTAAAAATTTACTCAGGAAGGAGAAGCACCTAAGGCTTTAGCAGTCCTGATGGTGAAGCTTTAACAGAGAGCTTTTGTACTAGTTGATGAGACTAAAGCAGGTATTCCACACTGATAACACAGGCTCTGCTGATTTGCTTGATCTCCAGTGCTTTTTGATATGGCAGAACACCATCACTTGTCCAGCCAACAAGAGTGGTGGGCAAGACCTGACTACCTATTGTTTAATAAAGTGAAACTGTAGAGATTTTTGTCACATAAATACTCCAGTCTTCATTGCTTACACACATCCTTAAGCTTTTTTCCTGCCCCTGCTGGCATTACTCCTTGTGAGGTACCTGTCTGCTCACTCAGCAGCTGGCTGAGGGTAGGATGAGGCTGAGTGACTCCTTTCTCTCCAAAGGATCAATGTTATCCTCTCCCTCTTGGGTGCTAAGGAACACTGCTGGGACAGGCCAGCACCAGCTGCCTGGGGAATATCTCTTCCCAGCACTGGAAGAATGATTGAGGGCTCTCCATGATGTAACCCCCTGAGCAATGCAGGCAGCCTCATGCACGGCAGAAAAAAAGAGGAGGAATTATGGTCTTTTGCAAGAAATTCATCTTTATTGAAGCAACCATGAGTCACACAAACTGCCAGCTGGCCTGAGGAATAACAATAGCAGTGGTCTGGACAATAGCAGCTGGAGCTCACAAGGGAGTATGTCTTTCTCCAGAGAGCAATACACTAAATACTACATATATACATGTAAGTGAATCTTTCTCCACTGCTAGAGTATGGGTATGTTGGCAAGTGCATATCAGCACCAAATCCCTGCTAGACTGAGGCATGCTGGTGACTGCCAGGAGGTAGTTTGAGTAGTTACCTGAAGCAGTTTGAACTTGATCCTACTTCCAGTGATGTCAATGATGAAGCCCTGATGGTTTCAAGGCAGCGAGATGAGGGGCAATAGCCCTTCCTCCCCCTCCATCCCCAACAATGTTCTTTCAGTGCAAGATATTTAGAGCCATGTTAAAATGTTAACCAGGTGCTATAGGCTGTACTGCTCTTTTATGTGTAGCAGCTCCTGCCTGAGGGCCAGGACCTGTCCTAAGCATCAGTATGGAGCTTTCTACATTTATCTCAAGAAATAACTGCTACTTAAGAGTTTTTCATGGCTAAAACGCACAATGAAGCAGAGATGTGAAAGCTGTTGTTAGTTCAACAGACATTTCACATAGCCATATAGCTCACAGCAGGCTTTCCAGCAAGTGCTAAATCTATTGCAAGGATGGGTTTCAGCTCAGAAGTGGCTCTGCCTCCTTGCAATGAGGACAAAGCACACCAGGGAGCCATAGTTTGAGCTAAGCTGAGAGCTGAGTTCTTCACTTGATTGAGGCTTTTTAAAATTCTGTTTGTTATTGATAAAGTGATGTAAAGAGGACATGGAGTTGGACATTGTATTGTTTGACCTGGCTGGAGATCAGTCCTGTTCTCTTACAGACTTAAACTTCAGTCCAGCATGTATGTGTAATATCAAAGTCCTTTTGTATTGCACAGCAGCACGGTGGGTTAGTGAAGCTAGATAAATGTAGAGCTAAGGCTGGAAGTTGAACAAACCTCTGTAAAATCAGTGTGGCATCAAGCTCTAGGAAGCTGACTAAATCCTCAGAATTAACAAATAATGGTGTATTGCATTAGCAAGAACTAATAACAGAGGAGTATGTCTTTATGCTGGTCATTTGTTTCAAAGCTTTCCACTGCTTTCTGACTTTTTTCCTTATCTCTACCAAAAGCCCTGTAAATCTGGCAATATTTGAAAACAGGGGAAAAACAGTTGACTGTAATTGGATGCCTACACATTCATGCATGATCAGAGACATGCCCAAAGTCAATCAATACAAGAGTCCAGGCTAGGAGAGCCCATTCCCCATCAGCATTGACACAGTTTGTGTCCATGTATTTGCCAATAGCACAAGATTGGCCCTGGGCTGTGATCCAAAGCCACTTTCCTAGGAATATTGCATCTTTCAGGGTCACAGGGAACTAACTGCTCAGATGACAGGACAAGAAAAGTTTGATGGGCTTTTTTTTGCTGGGCTTTTATCTCCACTTTTGTCCTAAGGGGCTCTTTGTGTCCTGCTTGTAGAGCTACAGCTTATAAGTCCCCCAGAGAGGGGATTTGCATCTCCAAGCCCAGGTGCACGTCTCAGTCCTTGTCTGCCCTTGGTGAAGGTGTGGGACTGCTCCTCCTCAGAGCATCACCCATTCTGACCAGCTTGGAAATGCACAACAGCTGGTAGTGCAGGCAGGGAAAATGTGTGATACACATCCCACCACCTGACCCCACACAACTCCTTCCTGGGGGATTTTGTTGGTGATTTCAGACACCTTCCTGCACCAAGAGCTGGCTCTACCTGATAGGGATGCCTGGGCAGTGGGTTTCTACCTCTCTCGCAGGATGTATTTGCCTTTACGGTCCAAGTTGCTGCTGAAGTGGATGGAGAACCAGAGGAATGAAGTCAGGATCATCCCATAAATCTAAAAGGAAATAAATGAGACAGGCACACAATTAAATGCCAAACTGATGATGATGCTCCATCTGTGCAAATAAGTGATCACAAATGTTGCCCGTTAGTCCACTTGGCACTTCTGAATTTATGTATCAGGATGTCACATTTTTCTGAAGAGAGCTGTTTTCCAGTAAAATGGTGAACACCAATTCCAACATGGGAGGAAAAAAAAAACCCTCCAACATGTGGTTAAAGCATCTGGTTGGAATTAGCACAGTACAGCCCAAACTCAATCCTAAAAATATCAAGAAATGAGACGAAACCAGGAAATTCAGACTTCAAATTGCTGCCACAAAACATTTTTCAGTGCAAACAAAAATCTCTCTCACATAATAACAGCCTTTTGTAAAGATTAACATAGGGAGAATAAAAAACCCCACAAAACAACACCTCATCTATTGTTTGGAGTAAAAAACCCAACAATAACAACAAAAAACCCTAACAAAGCCCAAACCCCACCCCATGCATGTGCTTGGTTGTGAATGCAGAGGACAATATACTTCCTCTGTGTTGGACTGTTCTGCCTGGTATATTGCACGTTGGGATTTACACAGGGAAACCTATCAAAGGTAAGGCTGCTGTGGGAAGGATAAAAAGGCTGTAACAACGTGCTTTTTTTTATGTCTGCCTTAACGTGCAAGTGCCTTTGCTTGTGGCTGGATCTGGGGACATGTGCACGTTGTTGGCTGAAAGACAGTGACATCAGAGCAGCTCTAGCCCTCATTGCACACTTCCTTTGCATCCTGCCATCACAATAGTGAACTGTGCAGTGAGATTTCCTCTAGCACATGCTTCAAAGACAGCCGCCTTATCTGGCAGTGGCATCAAGCTGTGAAAAAAAGATATATATTATAAAAGCACTTCCGTTTTTGTCTGAATATAGCTGCAGTGAAATTCCTCCTCTACCCAAGAAAAATCAGAAAGCAACACCAAATATTCACATATGACTTTATATCTCCACAGCAATGCTTGATGGCTTTCCAGATTTACTACTAGCAGTATAAACCCCAGAGGAACAAACACTTTTGTCTTTTATTTACATTGAGAAAAGCCTTCTAACCCATAATAGTGCCAAGGTGGACACAAGTCATAAAACAGTCTTCAAATACACATTCAGTCAGGAAAGGAGGCCCCAGCTGGGAAGCAGCATGGAGGCATCACAGCAGACCAAGCCTCCCTTTGTGGTGAAGAAACAAGTCTCCTGGCATAGTCTTTTTTTTAGTGTGCTTCACCACACATGCAGGACCCTCCTGTAGAGGTAATTAGAGTGACACACCTCTGTCAAGCAGTGGGTGGGCATACAAGCAGGCTTCTTTTAATCAGCAGTGCTCTTCAGCTCTGAAGAGACCATTGCCCCGCAGCCACCGAGCCCCCCCACCACATGCCTTGCATTTTGTCCTCCCCCAAATACAACACACAAACTCAGTACAGACCCTTTTCTACCCAAGCCATCCTCCAAAGATGATCCTACCCTCATCTGCAAGATTCTCCTTCAGAGACAGCACCTGGGAGCCCAGACAACACGTTCTGCCTGCTTTGTTGCAGCCTGCTCCTTACAAGCCCACGCTTCACCTGAGATGCACCTCACTGGGTTTGTTAGTGGTCATTAATAGCACAAAACCTTCCCTCTCCAGCTCCACTGCTGCTGCTCAGTAGCTTTCAAGACCTTCCAGTCCCAGAAGGCAACTTCCCAGGCTGAGCTGGGAGGCAACCAGTGAGCGCTGGGCAGTGAGAGGCAGCAGGTTTCCCAAAATATGGAGCTTTTATGGAATCTCCTTCAAACAACTACTGCTGGCTTTGTACCTGATCTGCAAGCCCTGTGCCAGACAACATGGCCTCTCGCTTGCAGGGGATGTGCAGGCAAGCCTGAGTGCACAAAGTGCAGATGCTGCTGCAACCTCCTCCCACTGCTCCCTGCTCCCAGCTGCTGAGTGGGCAGAAAAACGGTGCAAGGAGTCTGTTCCTGCAGGAAAACCCCTCCTTCCATCAGTGTGGACAAGACAGGTCACAGGCTTTTCCTAATTTCCACCATGATGTCCACCACTGCTTGTTTCTCTGCCTGTCTCCAGAATCACCCAAAATTCTAGCTTCTGGCAGCCACCTCAGGGTATGCTTTTCCTGGTAAAGCCTGCCTCTCAGGGCTGTAATTCAGAGGAACAGACATAGCTACCGTGAAGCCGATGGTGATGCCCAGGAGTGTGGAAACAAAGTCCAGGTGCTTCTTCAGGAAGTCCTGGATCTCTTGCAGACAGTCCTGGGAGGAGAGAGACACCCCTTGCAACACAGCAGCAGCTTGGGTTGGGGCTTTGTCCCCAAAACAACACCTGCCACATCCCCAGGTAGACAGGGAGGCAAGAGGGAGATGCAGCATTGCACAGCCCACGGAGCAGCTCTTCTCCTTTGTGCTGCAACTTGGGAAGACAAACCCCTGTGATACATTTTCTGTTGCTACAATATGCCTAGGATTTTCTTGCTGTGATGTGTTTTGGGCTCTGGGGGACGGATGTGTGTGTGCACTGCTAAGTGTGGTCATGCACAAGGTTTTTTTTCTTTCCACCCACTGGAAAATGGAAAGTGGGAAATGAAAAGATGGAAAAGCAGACCACACCATAATGCTATAAATACATTCCCCAAAGATACTAAGGAACGGCTCCATTTTGCAAGGTGTCAGAAACATTACCATACATTAGCCATGGAAATCCAGGAGGTGTTAGCCAAGAGAGCCATTACAAAAAAAACGCAAACCCTGCCCTTGATGAAGTGATTTGCAGGGTGGTTTTGCTCTGGTGGAAGAAAAATAATCATACAACAGATTTGCGCAGGGAGTATGAGGTCTGTGCTGCAGCTCGGGTGCAGAGGGAGGCCAGTGGTGATGGCTTCTCCATCAGCTTCCCCAAGAGACTGCAAAGAGGAGGAATGAAGTGTGCTTGATGAAGCTACTGCTGGAGAGCATCCTGCTTCTTCACGAGTTCCCCATTTTAATACCCATTTAACGCCCTCTGAAAAGGAATTACAGCAAATTCCACGTTTGCTGTTAGTGGGACACTTTTTAAGCCTCAAAATTGGTGTCACATGGAAAAGTCTAACAATTTTTTTGAGATCAGACACATGCCTGTTATATATCATACTCTACCCAGAGGCAGGGAATGAGGCAGAAGCTGGAGGGAAGCAACAGGCTGCAAACAAAAGCATTTCAAAGGCTTCCTAGAGCTGCAAAGAAAACTACATCTGCAGGTCTGAGACCTGCTGGCACAGCAGGGCTCTTCCAGTGGGTGACACACCTTTTATTGAAACAACAAAACCCTAAGAGAACAAACCCCAACCCATAGCAACCTCAAACCATGAAAAAGCCACGGTTCTCATTACCACTTAAACACCAGTGAGGTTTTCACTATCCAGGGAGTAGTGAGGCACAACCTCACTGTGGGGTGGAAGAAACCCTTCCCTTACCTGTCCTGCTCCATGCACCAGGCTTGATGGACACGTCTTGCTCTCAACATCGGCCGTGTCCCCAAACGGAGAGTGCTTCCCACAGCACAGGAACTGGAAGAGAGGGAAAGGTCTGCCAGCTGCTTGCTGGGGCTTTCCCCTCGCTGCCAGCTGCTGCAGCAGAGAGGTACTGGCCGTGGGCCACCCTTCCTCCCAGGGCTGCAAGAAGCAAATCAATTGCAGCAATGGAGGTGAAATTCAGAGGGGGTGGATCAATCTGATCCTGGGACTTGCCCGTGCTCCTCCAGGACTGCTGCCTGGAGCTGGGGCCAAGCCCTCCCTCCATGGTCACACCAGCTCTCAAAGTGGTTGCTCTGGAAAGCCCAGGGAAGCACAGACTCATGTTTGCAATGCTTGTTGTGGCCTAGATGAGGGATGCAGCAACACCCACTGTGGACCTGATTTCCTATAGCCCAGGTGAACTGGCCAGCTTGGAGCTCTAGCAGAAGGAAAAAAAAAAAAAAAAAAAAAAGAAAAAAAGGAGTGGAAGGACTGTTTGTTCACCAATTAAAGTGGCTAAAATAAGCAACTGATGAAGCTAGGTATTGTGACTGGGTCTCCTTGCAAAGGAGGACTCTGCGTGTGCTGCTCCACAACCCTGCAGAGCAAGCATCATCACACCTGGTCATGGCTCTGAGGGCCACCACCATTGTTGCAATGAGAAACATTTGCCCTTTTCTGTGTTTTGAGAAGCACAGATAAAAGCAGCTTCAGAAAGTACCCATTACAATGGTTGAAGAAAACACAGGAAGATTAAGGGAGTTCCATGGGAGGTGCTTGAAATAAGGCAAGTGGATCTGACCTTCCTGTCCAGACCTGCTGCGTGCCATGAACTCACCTACCAAACAGGCCCTGCTGCATGAGGAAACAGCATCTCCTTCCCTCAGTGGGGGCTCGGGAATTTTTCATTATGGAGGACCTTCTTACTCATCTCCTGTGGCTTTGAGGGCAAAGCATCCTCCCTGTGTTCTGGACAGTCACAGTTGCCCACCTACTGAGCTACCGAGAAGTCCCCAGCACCAGCAGCATCCTGGGTGGTGGTTTGGGGGAACTTGCTGACAGCCTTCAGCATTGCAAGAGGACACATAGCCTCCAGTACTCCTCAGCCATAGGCTCCAGGGTAAAGAGAAATAACCAAGTCCAGACACTTCTACTGGACAATGTGGAATTCCGCCCCTCTCTCAACCTAGCTGGGGATACCAGAGAGGTATCCACCTTCTCATACCACAGATAGGGAGCATGGCAGAGGGTCTGCTGAAACAGACTATATAGATACAGATATAGATATATCAGCTACAGTGTGGAAGCTTTGAAGATCTTGCACCGGGGCAATGCTCAGGTAGGTGGCCCTTTCCTCCTGTTGATGATCTAGTTGATTAAACCTAGGAAAGAGTAGGAAGGGAGAAGCACACTTCACAGCATGCTGGGGAACTCGGTTCCTGAGGGAAAATAGCATTGCAGCATCCACAAGGCAGAGCAGGGGCATGAAACCCAGTCTTCTGAAACCCTCAGGAAGATACCACAGGGCAAGTTTTTTTGTCAAAAATGAAAGACAACTTACTGCTTCATGGATGGCAGTCAGCTCATACCTCCTGATGCTGGAGGTGTTCCTCCTCACCTCCTCATACACAAGATCATACACATCCATCATGCTGTCTTCCACCTGCAATGAAAGCAGAGATTTGCACGTGGGAAACACTGACTGCAGTTGTCTCTGGAGGGAAATATGCTCCTCTCACACCTCCTCAGAAAGTTTCCCAGGTATAACAAGACAAGTAGTGCAGCTGTTAAATGACTACCATCCAGCAGCAGAAGCTGGTGTACAACACACCCACACAGGGGGCACCCACAGCATGACAAGTACCATGAGAGAGTCTGCCACACTGCATGTGTAACATCTGCTATGTGTGGACCCTTTGGCATCACACCGGGGTCTCACCAGCTGGTGGCTGAAGCTTTTGGCCAATTTTGGATTTAAGGTCTAAGAAGAACTCTGGTGCCTGTGACCACTGTGTCTCCAAGTTCCTCTGCCAGGCAGGGATGACACCGTCTCCTTGTCCAGATGGGTGACTAAGGACAGGCACACATGATGGTGAAATGCTAAAATAAAAGTTGAGAAGACCTCAGCTGGCTGGCGTTACCCCAGTGATGGAGGAGTTCCCCCACGGAGAGGGAAAAAAATTAGCGGAGTGATTCAGCGGTGAATCAGACCCTAAATATTTACCAAATGTGTGAGAACTTGCAGCTTCACAGACCCCAGCCAACTCCTGCTCGGGTTTCAAAGGGAAAAAACACAAGAATTGCCTGTGCCTGGAGTCAAAACCTGATTTCTTCCTCTTGTTTCCCCTTGTTTCCCCGGAGCGGGCAGCGCTCGGCTGCCAGGAGGGAAAACCAGTTGGCCAGACACATGGAGCAGGTGGCCACACAGGGAGGGATGGGCACTCTGGGACCTGAGCCATCTCTCAGCAAGGTTTTTCAGCTCCAATTTAAGGGCTGTGTTTGGATATTACTCTATGGGGGGGGAGAAAAAAAACCCAATGCCATGTGCTTGGGAGTGAAACCGGGGTCATTTGAGGTGTTTACAGCCAACAACTAGTAAGCAGGGAAGGTGAAAGAGGGAGGTTGAGAAAGAAGATTACTTGTGTCTGATTCAGCCCTATGCCACTAGGAATACAGTTTAAAGGTTCAGATCACAAGATTTTCCACAGCTACCAACATGGTGTAGGAGTGGAGGGGCTTGGGGGTTTCCCTCTGTTTGCCTGCAGCAGAGCAGCTGTCCTCACAGGATGCTCCACCACCCATCACAGAGCAATCAGCAGGTGTAGCAGGAGCAACCCAGCTTTAATGAGAAAGCTCCAGGGATGAACAGGGCACAGATATTCTGAGCCAAGGAAAAAATCCTTGGTAGCAAGGTGCATAATGCTGAGCTGTCCCACACAGGTAAGGAGAGGGGATGCTCATTTTGTCACCCTTATGTGTCAGAGGGCATTGAGCATGATGGGCACAGCAGTAAGACAAGATCTCTAGCAGACTTGTGCACCATCTTTCCCCCAAGCAAACCTGAAACTCCAATAAAAAGGACAATATCCAAGCTTTTCTAACTTCTTGTGGGCCATGAAATACCAGAAATTAAATACATTGATTTAATAAAAAGAACATCTATTTCCACTGAAGAATTGGATTAAGAATAATGAAAAAAGAATAATATTTTGACTTCGTCTTGTGGTCTCATGTTGCTGAGGAAGGAAGGAAGGAAGAACAAAGCAGCTGGCTTCTTAACCCAAGAGATTCTTACCTTTTGAATATACCAAACCCAGTCTGAGATGCAGGATTTAAAACTATTTTGTGTTTTGACAATATACATATGTGTCCCGGTAAGATAATAGTGCAAATGTTCAATTTTTGCCTTTTCATATGTATCATGGGCCTTTTGGAGGCACCCTGAGCCTAATTTTTTATGACTTAAAAAAAAATAAACGAGAAAATGAGTTCAAGCAAGTTGCTAGGTTCAAGCAACCTAGCAGTCCTTGGCTCAAGGACTGAAAGCAAACTAGAAGTTTAACATAAAAGGTCTACTGAGCAGTGGGTCATGAAACGCTGGGCCAGGTAATTTTAACCTTGCTCCTTTGCCTGGGCCCAGTCCTCAGAACCTCACAGAAACTGGCAGAAATGCTCCTTTGATCACAGTGAATTTTGGGCTGGATCTGGCTGCTCACTTTACAACTGTATTCAACTTAAACCAAGGTAAGATGAGAGTTTGTCCAGTGATATTTCATCTGCAAAGACCACCACAGGCCTCCTGGCAGTAGAGCAGGCTCTAATCACACCACCAGAACCAATTCACTCTGCAGGGAAGTCAGTGCTCACTAGCGTTTCGTCCTGATAATAAGCCTCAGGGCCCAACTGTGTCCTCCTCAGCAGCTTCTCAGTGGTGCTGCACTAAGCAACATGGGAGGAGGGCTGGTTAGCTGTCCAGATGTTGGCATCTGCTGGTCACTGCCCATAGCCTGAGGCAGCTGCCAGGCTAGCAATCTCCTGCCAGCTGCATAAAACCATCAGAGGATGGACTCGACCAGGACCCTGCCTGATGCATGTTTGCACCTTCCTCTATTTTACATACCACACAAAAACATGAAACACTGAGATTAAGGCTGTTTGAAGGTAAAGAGAGACTAGGAAAGAGCTGAAGGAACAAGAATGCCATAACAAAGCTATGGCAGAAAATTAATCCAGCTGCTGGAAACAATAAGGGAAGACACCACGAGCAGTCACCATTTCACAGCCAGCTCAGCTACAGTGGTGGTGATGATGATGAGGGTAATCTCCAGGTACATAATAGCTACTAAAGACTTCAGTTGCACTCTTGTTTCTGAGCTTGCTTGCTTGCTTGCTTGCCTTGTGAGCTGGCTTCTCAGTTATCTACTGATTTATTCTGCATTTTGTCTCCAACAACTAAAAGCGCAAAGGATTAAGTGTAAAATGTTTTATAGCAATAATTTCCTTTGAGAATGTGTGTCTGGGCAAGCCTAAGAGTACAATTTGCTGATTTGTCATTTTCAGCATTTCTGTCTAGCAATTATATCTAGAATTTATATCCAGCTATTATCTGAATACAGTATTCAGGTCCTGGGAAGGGAATAACAAACTACAAAACCATTTTTTAAGCACAAAATTGACAGTAGTTCCTCTACATCATCTTTCTGATTTTTTTCTAGGATCATTTGATTTTGGAGGAGAAAATTGCTGTCTTCATACAGTGGTCTGTTTCAAAGATTACTGCAGAGTTTTCTCATTTAAATATTTCAGAACTAGGTACAAAGTACTAAATCTCAGTATTTATCATTACTGTTTTCTTCAGTGCAGAAGATTGTGCCACAGAGTATACAAGAGGCCTGGTTTAACAAGGAGACATACAAAAGCAAAAAGATTGCAGTAACAAACCATCATCTTAGCAACTTCTTTGCCTGGAATGTGGTTATGTTTATACTCGGAGCTGCAGCTGAGCTCTGAAGCACTCATCATGCATGGCAGTGTCTATCCAGCCCTAAATGGCATGTTTATCATGCATGCTCAATGATGTACCAAAATAAAACCTGAAAGCATGAGACAAAACCGCCAAGTGGTTTCATGACCTATCTTTACTTGCAACATAATTTTATCCAACAGACACAAGGTCATGCCTGTATTTTCTCTTTGATCTAACACAGTGAAGAGCTAAACTGCAGCACTGCTTTGTGACTCCCTCAAGAGATTCCCATCACACACTCTACTAGCTGGCAATTTGCAGTCCATTGCCTCAAAATAATTTTCTTTTTCCATGTCTTACACTAGATATTAGAGAAAAAAATAATAGAACAATAGAATGGTTAGGGTTGGAAGGGACCTTAAAGATCATCTAGTTCCAACCACCCTGCCATGGGCAGAGACACCTCTCAGCAGAGCAGGTTGCTGCAAGCCCCATCCAACCTGGACTTGAACACTAATCAGGGTGCTTTCTCTCATGGCTAAGCAAAAGGATGCCTTTTGAGCTTGAGTGGTTATGTTGATAGCGTTAATAACATGCTTTAAGAAAACCACAGCCGTGCCTGATCCCTTAACTCAGGCAGCTGTTAGCACATAATGGGCCAATACACCTGGAAAACAGAAAGTCTGTTTGGGCCTCTTTTACAAAGGTCTTACGCTCTCCCCCACATTAGTATCATTACAATCAAGTGACATGCTATGACCCACTGCTGGAGGAGTATTTCTGGACAAAGCACTCCCTTGGAAGGAGACTGCACCTGTGATGCTCGTCAGTAAAATCACTGAGAACTGAAGATGAAGCAACAGCTGGGATTTGGCTTAAGAAAAATCTCCAGGTTAAGTGATATGAAGGTTACACTTTACAGTCATTCTTTTCCTGGAACATGCTGGGTCCAATGTTCCAACTCTAAATTAGTCAAGTAATTGCTGCCTCCCTTTTCTGTCTGCATTCCTTAATGAAACATTCATTTAGGGACGGTATTGATGGGTTGTTGGATACAACAAATGGAAAATCACCACTGACTCAACAGAGTTGCATTTTTCACTTAAAGAAAGAAAGAAAGAATTTTGAGATTGTTAATAATTCTTATCACCCAAGAAGCAGAATTTATGACTTCAGGAAGGCATTTATTCTAAGCCATTAGTGTTCTTGCCCTTGGCTATTAGAAACTAAAGCAAATTTCAGTCTTACCTCCTTCAAGAGGACATTTTTTACTTGGGTGATTTATCAAAGATAATTTTTACCCGAAACTGAAGCTGGAATGGAAAGACCAGGCAAGGAGGTCAGCCTTCAGCTCCTAATCCCCTTGTCCCAGAGGTGTCAGTGAACCCCACTCCTGCTGCCAGTGAATACAGTGCCCAGGCAACCTGGGACAGCTGCTTCAATGTATGTTGAAAAACTAATGTAGACTGGTACTGAAAAGAAGAGTCTGAGACCTACTTGGTAAAGTATTCTTGCAACAGTTGTTGGCCAAAAATGTCTCTGAAGAGCTGGAGCTCAAGGAGAATGCAGTACAAGGAGATGTCAGGTTTGTCTCAAACACAAGACCACCTCTCCTTTCCGCTTGACAGGAACGCTCCTGACATGGCAGAGAAGGCAGGGAAGAGCGGCAAGCAGAAGGAGGATCCTCCTGTGCTGTG